GTGTTACAGTTCTTTGTACTTAAAAAAAGAATAAAGAGGTCCCTAAGAATCTAAACACTTGATGTTTCTATTCAATTTTAGGAATCACTTAGCAATACAATAGATCTGGTAATATACCAGCACCTTAAGTCAGAAATATATAAGGAGCCAATTAGACATGGTAGTAGCTGGTTCTGTCTAGCAATCTGATTAAGAGGGAGAGTGTTGATAGCAAGGACACTGGGTTGGGTAAAAGGGCAAGCCTTTTAACTCAAATCACTGTCTTTAGCTCTTTTTCTCCTAATCAGAGTTTATTTTGGAGAAAAAAAAAGAAATATGGTACCTCAGATTTGAGTGGTTTACAAAGTTGCAAAGTAAAACATTACATGGAATGAGAGGACAACTGAGCTCCTGGAACAGGCTTGTCTTTTGTATCCTTTCTTCATCCTCTTTTTCATGTCTATGCACAGAGCTGAATGTGGATTTAGCAGCAGGTGTTATTTAACAACAAAGATTTGCTAACATGTCACCTAATTTAACATTTTTTTACCTTCACTTTGCTTGATGGGAGTTAACTGGAAATCCCCTACCCCAGCTCTCTGTGTGTATGTGTATGTATATGTGTGCGCACACACACCTGTATATTTGAATGTATAGTTTCATTAACATTTTGAAATGTGGTAGATATGCCTCTTTCGTGTTTTTGAAACACAGATTTTGCATTGATTTCCATCCTGGGCTGGAGCTCAGAATGGGGCCATTTTGTGTGTTGAGGTCATGGTTTAGAATACTTTAACCACATGAGAAACCATACTTCGGAGTGAAAAGTGCTGCAGTAATCCAGAGCAGGAAACAGAATGGCCCAACAAATTTCACCCAAAGCGTGTGGTTACTTGCCTGCCTGTTTTTGCATTGTGCACGTGTGAGATTTCCTATTGTGCTAAAAAGAAACTGTTGCAGAAAATTGAAGGTTGGCTCACTCAGTTATTGATGTTCAATACTCTCCTCATGATGGTCTCATTGAGTGCCTGTGACCTCAATGCATTCAATGCATTTTCCATGGTGATTACAGTACCCTTTTTTTCTTTTTCTGGGTGTAACTGTACAAACATCTTCAAAGGGTTTCTGTGTAATTGTAGTTCATGTGCGGTTGAAAAGCATTGCTGTTAACTTGCATCAAATTGACTTTGATTTATGGTGATCCCATGAATCAGAGACCTCCAAGTCACCCCATCAACAGCTCTTCTCAATCCTGCAAATTCAGGGGCTTCCTAGATTGAGTCTATCCGTCTGGAATGGGGGCTTTCTCTTTTTATTTTTACTGCTGTCCACTTTGCCAAGCATTACTCTCTGATATGTCCAAAGTACAACATTCTCCTTTTAAGCCATCTCGGCTTCTAAGTATTGTTCAGGCTCAATGTGCAATGGCACTCATTTGTTTGCCTTTTCATGGTATCCATAGAACTTTTCTTCAGCAATTTCAATTCCAATTCTTCCTGTCCAGCTTTCACATCTGCATAGAAACGGGAAATATGGTGTCATGGACAATCCTAACTTTAGCATTGAATGACATGTCTTTATACTTTAAGATCTTGCCTAGAGCTGCTATACCAAGTCCTAGTCTGCTTCTGATTTTTCCACTGCAGTCTCCAGTCTAATTCATGACTGAGCCAAGGGATGGAAGACTTTATACCTTTTCATTGTCTATTTTAGAGTAATGTAAATCATTCATGGTCATTATTTTTACTTTGTTAATGTTCAGTTGTGAGCCTGCCCTTTCACTTTCTACCTTGCCTTTTTTCCATGATCATTTACATTTTTGCTATTTTACTAGTATTATGGTGTTAGCTGCATGTCTTAAATGTCCCATCTTCTAATTTGCAATCCTCTTTCTTCTGTATCTGTTTCTGCTTTAGCTATGATATATTCATCATATAATTTAAACAAAGTGATAAAAAATGCAGCCTTGCCTGTCCTCCTTGCCAATTGGAAACTATTCTGCTTCTCCATATTCTGTTGTGATGGTTATCTCTTATCCTAAGTTCAATCAAATGTTGTGATGCACCCATTTAACAAAAGCAAGACATAGCTTTCATGATCTATAATTTGTAAAGCGCAGGCTGATTTTCTTCTGAAAAGATGCCATTGGTTATCGCAACTCAATATGTGCAAATGTCCTTCTCCTTCCTCTTGAAGCTTTCTGTTCATTAATTCATCGTGTTTTTGTGGTTTCCTCTTTTTCTGCCCCTCAAATACCACCCAATCTTTTCTCTCCCTGGTCCCTATTGAGGTTTATCTTGTGAGTTCCCTTACTGATTGCTTTCTCATCTCCCCTGAATCTTCTACACACACCCTTCTCGGTTTCCAGTCATATTCACAAATATGTCTCAGCACTTCATTTGTATACAATCTTTCTGTAGTCTCATACGTGTCAAATCCTACTTTCTGTCTTCTTTAGTCATACTGCTTCTAAGCTCACAGGCTTAAGATTTCTGTTTTTCCACCTCAGGCAGAGAGTATATGGGCTCTCCGTCAGTTGTTGTGGTTGTTGTGACCCTATCATGAAGTTTTCTTAGCAGGATTAGTTCAAAGGGGGTTTGGCTTTGACTTCCTCTGAGACTGAGAAAGTGTGACTTTCCCAGATCACCCAGTGGGTCTTATGTCCAAGTAGGGATTTGAACCCTGATCTCTAAAGTCTAATGCTCAAACCACTACATCATGCTTGCTAGTTACCTGGTAAGTCACCAGCTACATAAAGCCAGACAAGTTATTTTGGCTTGAGAAGTAGAAAATCCTGCAATCACCTTGGGAGTAAAACTTTAATTTGCTGTCCTTTGCAAAAATTACTATTTGCTGCCCGCTCATGACACTAAAAATTGCAAGCTGATATAACTATCTCACTCTGCATCTCTGTTTTATGATAGTGATGCCTAACTCAGCTTTCACAGCATCTTGCTTCTCCTTTCATCTTTTTTCTAGAAGGGCATGAATCAGGGTGCTAAGACTTACTTTCCTAGTCAATTAACTTACAAATGTCCCCACTTGAAGAATTCTCAATTCTCCTCCAAAATTTAAATCATAGCCCTATTTTGCATACGATTTTTGAAAGAAAGGTTAGGAGATAAATAAGCTATAATATTGGTGCAACTAAGTTTAATTTTCATTGCAGATGTAAACAGATGGGCTGCACTTATTGTGTGACCATGTATGTACTCTTTCCTATACAGCAGGGGTGGTAATAGTGTGATCACTCATAGTCAGGAACCAAGCCACTTACTTTTGATTTTCTTTTACTAAAAATTCTGCCATGTTTTTGCCATTCCAACTGCTTTAGGCCTAGGGGAGACCTTCATTTAACAGGAAAATAAATTGGACATCACTTTCAACTTTCACCCCCAAATTTATGAAATGTCTGTAGGAACCATTTGTAGTTAGAAGGAAAGAATAATGTGTGTGTGTGTGTGTGTGTACACTTATAGGAGTTCTATCCCGCAGAGGTCCATCAAGGCTAATGGAGCCTGGGCTGTCTCTTTGAAGTAAGTAAGCCCTAAAATTTGGCTGCCATTTAGGATTTCCCCTCACATATGACTCAGATCAGGTAAAAGGCAGAAAACGGTTCCATATGTAACTATTGTAGTTAATACCTGCAGATAGCTTACTGATATCTTGTGAGAAGAATCCAAAGAGTGTGTTAGTCTGGACAGGGGTCCTCAAACCTTTCAAGCAAAGGGACAGACTATAGTTTGAAAAAAACATGAATGATTTCCTATGCACTTTATATATATTTTATTGATAGCGTAAATGAAAGAACAATGCAGTATTTTAAATGAAGAAGAATTTTAACCAACATCAACTTATCATTTCAATGGAAAGTGTACACTTGCTTTTAGCTGATGAGGTACTGAAGTTAATTTGGATTGCTGTTGTGTTCCTTCAAGTCGTTTCATACTTAGGACAACTTTTAAGTCTAGTTTAGGGTGGGGCCTGGGAAATTAACTTTGGACATCCACATCTGGCCCATGGGCCATAGTTTGGAGACTCCTGGTCTGGAATATCATTATGCAAAGGAATATTGTGATCTTGGAAAGTCACACTTTCTCGATCTCAGAGGAAGTCAAAGTCAAACCCCCTTTGAACTAATTCTGCTAAGAAAACTTCATGATAGGGTCACAACCACCACAGCCACTGACAGAGAGCCCATATACTTTCTGCCTGAGCTGGCAAAACAGAAATCTTAAGCCTGTGAGCTAGGAAGCAGTATGAAGCAGTAGCATTAACTTTTGTAGACAAAGTCATCTGACTAAGTTATGGACTAAGGCATCTAAGAAAATAGACTTACTGTATATGCTCATTTATAAGTTGACATTATGGATAAGTTGAGGGCATGTATTGAGGTCAGGTATTGAGGTCAAACTTATTTATTTTGATTGGACTCATGGATAACTTGAAAGTTATTCCACAGCTAGTGGAAAGTGTAAGAACCACCTTGGAATCAGCTGGCCCTGGTCACTTCTGCCACCATTCCCCCCTCCCCCTCCTCCAGACATTCAGAGAGGCCAAAGGCGGTGCAACAGTAGAGATAGAGTAGAGGGCAGTAGTGCTTCTTTTATGTCCTCCCAGGATGGGCTAAGCTCTCATCATTCCCTACTCTACTTAAAGAAGGGAAAGCTTCCTTTTCTTAAGGTGCAATACTCACATCAACTTGTGGAATAGTCAACCCAGTTTCTTGGGGTCATTTTGACTAACATTTCTAGACTCATACAAGAGTATATAGGATAGTCTATGAAAGCATTTGCTACCAAGTTTGTTCCCACAATTGGTCTTTAAGGTGCTACAAGATTCTTTTGCATACCCATATCTTGCCAGTATGTGATTCTTAATATAAATGAATTGCTTGGCAGAATTAGAAGACTAGAATAAGGGTGATTCCAGGATGGGGAGTAGGATTTTTGGTTTCTCAATGATAGTGTCTATTATCTGCTTTTAGTTTCAGTTAGTTGATTTTTTATTATCTGTTTCAGATGGACCCTAACAGAATATCAGAAGAAGATACCCACTGTTTGAGAACCTTCCTGAGGCTTCAAGAGAATATAGATCTGCAAGAAACAACCTTGGTGAATCAAGAAAGACTGATGTCTGAATCATGCAGAAGGATGAAACAAGCTTTTCAAGGAGCAATGCAAAAGGTCAGTTGATTCCAGCAGCTACAAAGTTTGACCTCTTCTTGAAGCTGCAGAGTTGGCCCAATGAAAAGTGGGTTAAACGTCACACAGAGGAATGATACAGGCATTTCTCCAGCTACCTTGGTGGAGGCAGTTTCCTCAGCCACATTTGCTAAGATTCTTTATTTCAGAGTACTGTGGTCTTGTGAAACACAAAGCCACACACTCAGTCACTGTGCTTACTGTGGCTACTCTTACTTTGAAAGGAAAGGTGCCATAGAGACCAAAGTTTGTGGCATGCTCCTAGTGGGTTGCTTTCCCACAACAAATGCCTTTGCATCCAGAGTTTAAGTTCAGTGCAGTCACATGCATTTTCCACAGTAAACCCACCTTATTAAAATACAAAGTCTTGGAGATACAACGATGTCTCTGTAAATTTTAATAGGATTAAAACAGCAATTCAGTAAGCATTCATCCAATACCGTCATGGAAAAATATCTTAATATGTGATAAATACACTTCAAAATTAACATGGGAAAAGCCCAAATGACTTCCTGTGAAGATAATTCATATGAATTCTGGTCTTCCTGTGCTTTCAGATCATGGCTAACATAATGATTCAGAGATACAGGGTCATTTTGGCAGGAAGTTTCAGATTGTCAAACCGAAAACTGGAGAAGACTTTTGTACCTGTCATGGTTGTGTAGAAGAGGAAATGTTAGTAGATGGAGCTTCTTCCCTGGATGCATGACAAGCAGCACCTGCTGATATTTCCTTTTCTACACAACTATTAAAAGTACAGGAGTTTTATCAGTTTTCAGTCTGGCACCACCATGACTCCTTGATTTTCCAGAGGAAACCAACAGCACCAACTGAATGACATTGTCAGGGAGTAGCAATATTGATTTATTCTTTTCCGGGCTCCAAGGCATTCCAAGTTCTTGTTGTTTTATTCCATACCTCCTCAGTAATGCTCCATAAACTACCACAAAAGCTTGAATTTATGTGTCGTAGTATTAGATAGTAAGTGTGATAAAGAAAGAGTATAAAGATTAAATGAGAGGACTAGAATATTGGGTGAGGTGAATTTCTGTATGGTTGGAGACAGGTAATGAGAAATACAGGGAGAAGTCCTGTGAGAGCAGCTTGTTGCTGCTTTCGTTTTGCCTCTTCTTTCAGATTTCTTAAGGTACTGTGTAGATAGCTTTTTTCTCCTCATTTTACTGTTTTATCAGCTCTTTGTGGTAATTTAGTTCTAGAGACATAGTTCTGTGGACTTGCTGCCTTATTTCTGGGAGGGCACTATTTTCAGTTCCTTACCCTGAATTCACATCTTACATCCAGGTCTGGTTGCCAATTTGTAGTCCAGCCAACTCTCTTCTTGGTGTCACCTACAAAATCCAAAGCAAACATGCAAGTATTTTAGTCAACAGCCATAATAAGGCAGTCACCTTAGAAAGCTGAGTTTTGAGTGTCACAAAAGGGCATCAGATAGCTGCCTAATTTATTCTATTTTTACTGCCAATGAAATGGAGATTCAATTGTGGGATTTTCTACTTTAGGTGCCAATTTTTATTCTTTTGTGTTACATTTATTGCTTTGCCTCAGACAGAAAAATGTCTTAGTTTGGACCTAAGTGTTTAGACAAGAGGAAATGAGGAGCCAGGCAGAGCAGGTATGGTCTTTGAGCAGTCTGGATGGGGATGGAAAAGGTCATATATTCTGCAGCTACTTTAACTAGTTTTTTAGGGAAGGAATTATGTGGGCATGTGTAAAGAGTCTACATTTTTTAGACCACAAAACCAAATGTGAATGTGGGAATACATGGATCAACAGTACAAAATGTGAAAAGGGCCTTAGGATTATTGTTGATCCTGAACTGAAAATGAACCAAACAGTGTGATGCTGCTGTAAAGAAGACAATTGCCATCTTAATGTGCATTAACAGAACTTAGTTCCCAAGCCAAGGGAAGTAATAGCCTCAACTATATTCAGCACTCTCCTGAAACTCTGTGTTTTTTCAGGAGAGAAAATAGTGAAGATTTTATTTTTCCTGTCACTTCAAAATTTCTTGACGTTTTGCATTTCTCTCTGTTAAATTTTATTTTATCATTTTTACCCCAGTTTTCTAGTTTATCAAGGTCTTTTTACATTTTGTTATATTTTCCAAGCCTGTTAACAACCCCACCCACTTTCATATTGGAAATTTGATAGGGATTCCCTTTACCCCAGCATCCAAACCATTGATAAAAGTAGCAAAGGGTGTCAACTCCAGGACATCGCCCTGCAGCACTCCATTTAAGACTACTTTCCAGTTTGAAGCACAGCTACTAAGCACACTTTTGAGTACAGTTTTCCAACCGTTTATCAATCAATTTTTCCATCTATTCCATAGTCAGTTTGCTAATCAAAATATTATGGAGGACCTTATAGAATTGGAGATTCCTGAAAAGCAACTTCATGCCAAAATATTGTTTGCTTGGGACATAGGTGGGAAAACGTTGATATCAGCTTATCTTCTAGCATAAACCTTTGTGTGTATGTTCAGAAGTGTTACAGTCCCTTTCAAGGCCACCTTAACTGTAGCCTCTCACTGTGGGGTGGAGAACTGAGCCTTTGAAACACATATATGAAACTAACTGTCCCTTGCCATGCATTACTGTGGCCCAGTCTGTGTATATGTGTTTTGTGTGTGTATATGTGTGTGTATATATTTGTGTATATGTAAGTTTGCATATGTGTGTGTGTCTGTGTATATGGCTTTGCGCATGTGTTGTAATGTAATTTTTTTGGCTTTTAAAGTCTCTTCTGCAGTGTTTTTCGTTGTTTTTATGAGTGATGGTCACTCGTTGGCCTGATAGGTGTATTGTGTCCAAATTTGGTGTCAATTCGTCCAGTGGTTTTTGAATTATGTTAATCCCACAAACATTTTTCTTTATATAGATGGTATAGCACCAAGGCTGATCCAAATGTCCCAGGGATGGATTCGCTAACTTCCAAGGGGTCTATAGAGTGTTTGGTTTCTTATGCATCACTGCATATTAAGCTCTATTTAAATGTAATTACAGTCTAATCTAGGGCTGTTTAAAAGCTGACAGACTAGTAGGCGCTTGATATGTATTCTTTTTCCGATTAGCCCCTTGCGCAGGAATCTCTTGGTCCATTTCCTCTTGATTGCCTTTCAGGAATTCTAATGTCTCAATGCTTCTGCTAATAAAAATTATGGCAATAGGTTTTAATTGGAGTAAGTCAAAGTTTAAAGAGAAATCGTGCCTCAATTGCACTAGAGACAGGTGGTCTTTAACACCCTTACATGTCTATGTTCTTGTCGAAGTGGGATTTGGCTCATGTGGTTTGGGAAAGACAGAGTAATGTGCACATCTAGCATATTCCGCTGAGTTTGCATAGAGTGACTTCAGAGTGGCATTTGGTTGTGCTCATAGTGGGCAAGTTGACCTCGTGTTGTGCTACTAAAATATTTTCACCTTGCTTCCTCTTGCTCTTTTTCTAAACACCTGAATGTATCAGGAGGTTCTTGCATTATCCCAGTTTTAAATATCCTAAGGCACAAAAATAGACTTCTTAAACATGTGCAAGATACAATTGATCTGTTTCTGCATCTTGCTTCTGAATATTTTGAACCAGTGCTTTCTTTTCAGTTTCCTTCCTGACTTGCACAGATGCAAACCAGTGGATTTCCTGCAAGATCATGATTCTGATCTTTTCTCAATGTCAGCCACATAACCAATTTCTAGCCTACGAATCTAGGTTATGCTCAGATTACATGGAACTCCACATATCATAACAACATTTATAAGTGTATCCATGTGTTACTTACTGGCATAAAACTTGCTTGTGAAAGAGGGAGGGGCAGTTTTAAACTCATTCCCCAATTGCACTATTCCCTTCCATAGAAAATATATAAGATACTGTGTAGAAAATCCAGAAGTCTGGAATTTGAATTTCTCCAAAGTTATTTTAGCTCCAAAATATGTTACTGGTTTTAGGACTTGCACATGGTTCATGTGAAATAGGGATGAAGGAAAAGTGATTCCAGGGAAACTTGGTGCTGAAGAAAAGGGTTTCCAAATCTGAGGGTGGTATTGTCAGACCAGTGTGAACCCTGGCATTTCCTACCTTGAAAATGGAGCAGTGCTATATATTTGCAGCAAACTTCCTTGCATTTTGAGCCTGCAAAACTAAGCATACCCTTCTTATTTTCAGGAAGTCCAGCGGATTATCATTGGGAAGGACCAGTCAAGATCAGAGAAATGTAAGTAATAGGCAATTTGTTAATGGGGATCTTTAAGCCATGTTCTTTTCCAGTGATTTTAATGAGATGTTTCATCTATAGCTATAATGGGAGCTTCCTGGTTGGATTTGCCCAAGATAAACAAACATGACAAACCACCATTTGCCCATCTCATCATTGATGCCAATAAAATCCCAGCTGGTAAGTTCAGTTTTTTATTTTGTTTAGAAGTTTAATTAGGTCAGTGGCATTTTAATGTTTGGTGCTATAAATGATCATACCACACAATAGTTAAAAGAAGTATAATTGAAGTTTGGTGTGACGTTAAAATAAACTATGGTCTGGAATTATATGGCAAACCCAAATAAGAGAAGTCAATGCTTGAAAATAACTTGATTTGCATTTATTATGACTTGGTGAGATATCTACATTGATAAATGATTGTTTTGGCCATTTTGATAATCTGGAGGCTCTTGCAACTATTTTGCTCTATTTAGCAAATGAAAGTAGACAAGGAGCTGTAAGCTGTATTTTTTTACAGATTTGGAAACTCAAAATTATTGTTTAGATAGAGCAGTGGTTCTCAAATTTTTAAAGTCATGGAGCCCTTTTTGAAGGGCTGCATTGCATTTTAAAATTCGACAGATGGGCCAGGCCAGTGGCAGGAGGATGGAAAATGTTTGTGTGAACTAATTGAAAAAAATTCCTATGCACACTGCACATATCTTGTTTGTAGTGCAAAAGAAAGAAAGAAAGAACAGTACAATATTTAAAATTATTAAAAGAATAATTTTAACCAACGTAAACTTAACAGTATTTCAGTGGAAGACCCCAGGAGCTATCCAATTCAACCTCATTCTGCCCTGCAGGAAAGGCACAGTCAAATACCCCCCCCCCCCCACCAGTTGCCATCCAGCCTTTGCAATAGTAGTAGTAGTAGTAGTAGTAGAAGCAACCTCATAGAACCCCTAACTGTGCTTCATGGAGCCCTAAGGGCTCTGCAGAGCACAGCGTGAAAACCGCTGGTTTAGAGGTTTAACCATTATTATTAGCTTTCTCAAGTAAAATATTTAAAACAAAATGTCTAATATGTATTGTGAGCGTAGCTATCTGAGAGAATCCAGAAATGTAAGACATGCCATTATTGAAATTAAAATCTGATAGATGGGACAATCATGCTTTCTCGTTATGCGATTCTCTAAAACTGTCTATTTCCCTTGAGTGGTGGAAAATATGAGCATTTTTTTGTTTTACAGCCTAGATATATCCTCAAATGTAGCTATCAAAATGCTATGCTCATTTTATCATCTTGTTTGATTAGATTATTTGTTTTTTCGTCAATCCCAGCTAGTTGACATCTTGTATCTACAAAGGTTAGGATAGTATATGCCAGCCTTTAATAGATTCAAATGATAAATACGTTATAAGTAACAAACTAATCAATGCACAACAATTTTGCACTGATAGAAATTAAAATATCGCTAACATTTTGTAAGCCTCAATGAAAAAGGTTGTCTGATGACACACTGAGCTTCCCTTAATCTTTTTTCTTTCTTTGTTCCATTTTGTTGATTTCTACAGCTATTTAATTTACACAAAATCCAATTTTGTGCAAAAGGAAACCTGTAAAAATGTAATTATATAAAATATATTGCTTTTTACATGAATGAAATGGTTGTAAAGAAAGCAACAAATACTAGAAGTCTCTGAAATACATAAAATGCTCAAGAATATATGCAACAGTTTTAAATTTTTTTGTTCAGATGTGCAAGAACAAAATAAGTGAAGATGTACATTACTACACTGCATACTCATACACACTACATAAATGTACATTATGATTCCAATTTTATACTGCCATCATATAGTGTCCTGGGATATTTTTTTGTCTAATCCCCACTACCTCAATTCTTTCTTCAAGGATTCCATATGATGGAACAATGAAAGTTAGTGGAATAACAAATGGGACTGAGATTGGTAATGTCATTTTTCTGAGACTTTTACGATATCAGGGTTTTTTTAAATCATGGGGAATGAAAACAAAAACAGCAATTAAAGATGGCTTTCTAATAATTGCAAGGTGTTTTTTTCTTTTGCTAAGGTGGTGACTCATCTTATATATTCTTCAGTATCTCTGAAAGGCCATTATTCAGATTTTTGGTAATACAGATTTTCACTGTGTCATAGGACCTGTATTTTTAAGTCCCTGGATGGTGGGTCTTATAACCATAGTTTATAAACCCCACATTGGCTGTAGTCTAGACACAAGCATCTCTAGTTATAAATAGGACCTTTGTGTGGCTATCCGATTTTGCTTCTCCATGCATAACTAGAAGGTTCCTTCAAGGGAACACTAAACTATATTCAAGAGATGAAACACTGACTTATATTTTGCATTGACTGTAGCTTGTAAACATTTTTTCTCTGTAAAGATTTCAGATGGCAAGCATTTGAAATGTAAGTTTTTCCCGCCTACTCATTATACCGTACACATGCCATATTTCTGTGGTATGCAGTATGCTATAGTTGTGGTCTGCATGCCATATAGTTACACTGAGACCGAATCCACAGAGTAGTTATGGCAGAAAAACAGAGGAAGTTTGAGGTCCAAGCAACTTCACATGGCAGTTAGATCAAAGACTCTGACCTCCCTAAATTGACTATAGCATGCTAGATGGAAGGAAGAGGAACAAGGTCATCAGGGCAACCCATTCTTGGTAGTTGAAAAAATACTGGTTACTATTTCAGGTCCATTGGTTGTTGGTTTGATGGTTGTTTATATTTTGTTATAATGTTATTTTATTCTGTTTTTATGCTGTTGTTATGTTTTTAATGTGTTACATTTAACTACAGAATTCGGCTCAGATAAGGCCACCAGGCTGTTATTGAAACCGATTTTAATTAATTAATATGATTTAATGTTTTAAATGTATGTAATTATTGGATTTTATTATGTATTTTATTATGTATACATTGGAGGCATTGAATAGTTGCCTGCTGGAAGCCTCCCTGAGTCCCCCCCCCTCCTCCGGGGGTTGAGAAGGGTGGGGTACAAATATCTGAAATAAAATAAATAAACTATGTTGACCAGGCTTAGAACCCATGTAATCTGCCCTGAGTCCCTCCAGGGAGATGGAGTTGGGGTACAGAAAGAAAGTTATTGTCGTCATCATCATCTACCATGAAGATGCAGTAGATTTGGGTTCAAACTCAAATAAGTAATGGCAGAAGCAACATTAATCTTAACAGTGGCTGGTTTTATTCTTTTGATATGTGGGATTATTTGGAGGATAATGGAAAGGTCCTTTACATTTCCTTGGCTGCCAAAACTATTTCAGGTTATTTATATATTGTATCATTTATATGTAATATTAAACCTAAATGAAAAAAAAAACTATTCCCTCAACCTTTTTTTTCCTCTTAGGCACCGGTAAAGTGAACCTTACATCTTGGCATCATGACCAAGGCTGGGCAAATGTAGTGAATATGACATTCAGTGATGGAAAATTAATAGCGAACCATGACGGCTTTTACTATTTGTATGCCAACGTGTGCTTTAGACACCATGAAGCTGCGGGGAATCTAACTGGACAAACTCTACAGTTGATGGTGTATGTGAGAAAAACGGATGTCAAAAGGAAAAACCCCGTGGTCCTGATGAAGGGAGGGAGTACAAAGAATTGGTCGGGAGACTCAGAATTTCATTTTTATTCTGTAAATGTCGGGGGCTTTTTCAAACTGAAATCTGGTGAAGTAGTAAGTATCCAGGTATCACACCCTTCTTTATTGGATCGTTCCCCAGAAGGAACTTATTTCGGGGCCTTTAAAGTAAGGGATATTGATTGAACCTAACTTGTCAGTTTTTCAAAGGGGGAAAAAATAATGTTTATTCAGCTGGATCAGAATAAACCTGACCTGAGAGAGATGGTTAACAGCTTGTGGGGTCCAGTTGTCCACGAATGAGAATTTCTCCCAGGCAGCCTTACCCACAGCTCCCCATACAGTCTTAGGATTCCTCAGTTTCAAGACTTAATTCCAGTGCTTTATTCCCATCTTAGTTGTGGTGGTCTGGTTTGTGGATTGGGATATTGGCAGCCCATCCAGAATGGCATCTAAACTTTCAGTAGTAAATGCACATTATAATCCAAATACATTTTTGTTTTTGTGCTGGGCAGAAAATAATTTCCTTCCAATCAAAGTGAGCCATACATAGACAGTATGGAAACCAATGTGGAATGTTAACTTGCACCCATTAAATCAAAGGGAGACAGTGAAACAAATGTAAAGTACAATCTAAACATGTCTACTCAGAGGCATGTTCCACTGAGTTCAGTGAGGCTTATTTCCAAAAGTGTATGTGTCCTGTGTTGAGTTTAAATATGTTAACCAAGACTCTGCACTAGCCTACAAGTAGATAGACATGCTTAGGATTCTAGACCCAATCCACACTATATTTATTTTATTACAACAGAAATCCACAATTTTGATGGGAGATTTAGAGGTATACATTTTCAAATTATGTGTTGTGTGCAACTTCGCAACATACTCTGATAGTACTGTTTAAGGAAACATTGAATAAGCACTGGCAACCAAAACACCAGTCAGTGTATTGCTTCCTAGAGATTGAATTCAAAGGGAAATGTTAGAATCTTTGATTAGCAATGCAATTGTCCTTTTAAAAATATTTTTCATGATGAAAATATTATCCCCTCCCCCATTTTTCTGCAGGCAGAATTGCATTTTATGTTTGTTAAATTTTATACCTATGTGCCTTCAATTATTTTTATTTTGTCCTCATTCCCTGGTTAAGTTGTATACAGGACTGTAAGTTGTAGGGTTCAATTTCTCCCTGACTGCTTATTGGACATGTTGAGTCCTACTGACAACCTAATGAAGGTGCCTTTCCTGTTGGGGTGTAAGGGGGCAAATCCCATCTGGATAACCCCCCCCCCCCTTAATTGGGCTAGTTGACTCCATGGCAATGTAACAATGCTAATAACACTATGTAACAAAATTTGAAAAAAATCTATTCCTGGTTTGAAAGTGTTATTTCCTGTTTCATTGTGCAGCACTTACTTTGAAAGTAGTTGTTATACTCCAGAAACTTCATTTTTGTGGTTGCCACAAACTGGGTTGAGTTGATTGAGATTCTACGCAGATATTCATTAAAAACTATAGAAAATAGGCTGCCAGATATCTCGCCAAAACAAAGTTTTTGCAATTAAATACACTTTTTCTATGATAGAACCAATTAGGAAATGACATTTATAACCCAGGAAAAACAATCATGTTACAAAGTGTAATTGATTCACATTTCATTCATGATTTTATTTCATTAGTTACGTTTATACCCGGCTTTACCTCCAATAATAGTCTCCTCTTTACTGTTTTATCTTCACACCAACTTTGTGAGGTATATGATTTTTAAAATTTGAGGTTATGAGTAAGCAGTTGTGGCTCATCGGCATCTTTTGAACTGTAATTCCTGCAGAACTGTTTGTCTTTGCTTGGGATGATGAGACATATTGACAAAAAACATCTTGAGATTACATATGTCACCCATGGTATACGTTGGGAACATTGGGACAAGTCACTAGTGGCATTGTTCCTTCTATTGTTCCTATCAAACCAGGAATTAACAAAATGTGGTTTGAACAAGCTGCAACTTTTTATATTCAGATGCAACAGCAAGCTGGAATTTTCAAAACAAGTATCTGAATCTTTAATTTTCATTGCTTTATGAATGCAGTGTGAAGAATTTGAATCTGCACTCCTAAATACCATGTAGGCATATTCCAGTTATACCTGGCTTACTCACTAAATCAGGCTGCTGGTCCATTTAACTCAGAAATGTTTATTCTGCTTGTGGTTTGTCAACGTCTCAGGCAGAAATGTCATTCTCATTCCCACTGCCTCTGCTTTAAATAGGCAATGACAGGGATGGAGCCTGGGATCTTCTGCATGCAAAACATGTGTCCTAGCTTTCATATTTGCTCTCTCTCTTTTTGCCTCATTGAAAGGCTTTTCTGCCTTTTCATGAAATTGATGCACACAATATACCCTGTATTCTGTCCACAGTTTAGAATAAATTTCTTGGTCATCAGTTAATAAAATTATTTGAGGTTAGCATGGTGTTTTAAGCTGTTGATTAAGTCCATCTTTTGATAGCTTTCTCTCTGTTGATCTCAAAAGAGAGATGTAATTAACAGCTTAAGACATCGTGCCAAGTTCATTGCAGATGGAGGCTGCAAGTCCCGTATGTTAAGTCTCAAAGCTTACAATCTGAAAGTGTTCTTCATAGATTCTCAGCATTGTTTCATTGCCAGAGCATGCAACTGCATTGTTTCCAAAAAGATAAAATGAATATTTTTGTATTCTGTAATATCAAGTTATATTTCAGATGTAATTTTTATTTGAAAAGTTCTGTAATTTATAAACTGTTTGATACAAATATTTAAAATTTCACTGTATGTATATTTAATGTTTGAAAATTGTTTGTACAGATATGGATTACTACTGCACTTTCTTAATCCCAGTGGGGGAAAAACAGCAGCTATAATGACCATTTGCCACTAGCAAATGTGATATATTTCTTTGTATTTTCTTAATTTAATAGCTTTTGGTTGATCTTATCAGTGTTACTGAGGAGTCAGGGATCATATACATTATCAGATGACAACTGTTGATAATTTCAGGTGCTTTTCACTTCTAAGCTTTACTCCAGAAGTCACTTGTTCTAGAGCAGTGGTTCTCAACCTGTGGGTCCCCAGGTGTTTTAGCCTACAACTCCCTGAAATCCCAGCCAGTTTACCAGCTGTTAGTATTTCTGGGAGTTGAAAGCCAAAACATCTGGGGACCCACAGATTGAGAAGCACTGTTCTAGGACATTCTTTCCTAAGTCAGTGTATAAAGCTCCCCCCAAAAAATCACGAGTATCTGGCATGTGAAAGAATGGTCTACAGGCCGCAATACAGATCTTCAAGATGTGGCTTTGGAAGGAAATTAACCAAATGTAGCTGGTATTGTGAAAAAATATGCAAGGGACCAAAGAGATTTGTTATGAGTATTTATGCAATTATTCAACAGACATTTTATCATACTATAAATGTTGCAAATCTGTAAGTGCTCTTATAAATTTCTGCAAAACAACCTCTTCTCAACAAATACTTACAGACCCATGTTACAATTATTTTATACTGTACAATAGGCATTGCTTTTGAACATTATGAGTTTTTTTTTAAAAAAAATAAACACATTTCTAAGAAAAGAGAGGTTGTGGTTTGCATTTCTCTCCTGTTCCCACATCCTTTCTCTGCAGATCCAGCTCTGCTGACTATGAATAGCATTACCCGCATGACACTATGGAGGTGCAAAGGTTCGTAACAAAGTCGTATTCATTCAGAGCACATTGCAAAGCAGAACAGTTAATGTGCCTGCATTCACTGTGAGCAAACTAAATCCAAGCTGTACAACAGCAGCCCTGTTTTCTTTTGCGTAATGAATTTGTAGATACATACAAATATTTTGATAGATTTACTGCTTTCCACCTCAGCACTACAATACACCAATTACAGAAGTGGACGAGATCGCAAGAACCATCCAGTCCAACCCTGTGCTACACTGGAAAACACAATCAAAGCACCCCTGACAGAAGTGGTTCAACTATGGTTATGCAGTTCTGACCAGGCTTTGACTCTTATAATTCACTACTTTATGGGCTTAAGTTTATTTATTTATTTACAGTATTTATATTCCACCCTTCTCACTCTGAAGGGCACCCAGGGCGGATCACAGAACACATACACGGCAAACATTCACTACCATTAAATAGACAGGACAGACAACAGATAGAGACATTTCCCCCCAACTTCAGCATCCTGGAGGTTGTGCTCGATTCTGGCCATAGAGGGTGCTGTCCCTCTATCTTCTATAACAAAGAGCCTTGATCACAGATTTCCTCCTTCCTTTGATGCATTTTTCTGGTATTTCCTTTATGGTGCTGTAAAATACCTCCCAGCTTAAGCTGTGCCTAATTTCTCTACTCACAGCTGTTTTTGCACTGCTTATGTGGATAGTAAGCTGGGCTGAAGGTTGGGTGCTCACTCTGAGCCAGGCTTCGAAACTGGCAACCTTTCAATTGGTAAGATCTATTGCTGCTGGTGATTAACCAGCTGTGCTAAAGCCCGGCTCTTTGCGAGGTGTGAAGCTGTACACTGTACTCTTATATCCCTACCTTCCTGCTACCTGTCATTACCAGCCTATTTACAGATGCCACGGCAATGGAATCATCAAAGTTTCCCAGGTACCACTACAGGTTAGGTGAAAAAAAAGGTAAAGGGGTGAGACCCAGGTGGGTTGTGCTTTGTATCTCAGAAGAGGCACAAGAGATGACGGACATGCGTTCCATAGCTTTAAGTTCTGCCCCAGTTATGTGCAGTGTCTTGGCCCTATATCCCTTCAGGTCTCTACTTATGAAAACTATCTAGACTGTGTGCCCTCTCTGGCATTTGTGTTTGTTGCACAGGCCCACGTGCACCTTTAAAAAATTCAATTGTATGCATTTTCTTTTATTCATTAAAATGTGTGTTTTGAAACTGCATGCATTCTTCGTGCATCCAGTTTTCCAATGTATACATTTTTGTTCACTGAATGATGTCCTTGCCTCTTATCAACTGCAAATTATTTTCAGGTCCAAGAAGTTCAAATTAGATCAGCTGTGGTACAAAATGCATTGAAATTGATTTCTCACCCACCTCTAGTCTCTGTCCTGCAGCAAAGTCAAATTGCAGATAAATATTCTGAATCGAGCACAGGTTTATTATTACATCTGTGGTTTATTATCATCACATGCTTATTGTCGTCATATCTGTGGGGGGAAATGGTGACTGGATGCAAAGCTTAATTCACAGAGTGAAACACAACTAATAAATCGTTCAAAATAATCCTTGTGCTTTTAGGTAGGTTCTGCATTATTTGCTTTGGAGTGGCGCTGAAAACACCATATCCTTACTTGATTTACCATTGCCAGCTCAACAAAAAACTTCAGGGTGTTTTGTCTCCACTTGGCAATATAAATTATTCCCAATCCTCTCCACTCACCCCATTTTAGGTTGCTGTTCAGACACCTGATCCAGATTTCCTCTCCATTTGCTACTTAGCCTTGAAATTCTAGCATTTTTGTAGGTAAGCAAAACACAGTTTATGAAAAGCACCTACCCAGGACAAGTGAACTCACAAATATAGCTCAGAAAGCAAGAATACCTAGAGATTTCTTATAACCAAGACAAAATTTGTTATTTTATTTATTAAACTATTTTTATAGTATTTATGCCCCATCCTTCATTCAAAAGGGCTCTGAGCAGTTTAGGGAATTATTTTCTCCCAGGGCCCTTCCACACAGCTATATAACCTAGAACAGTGTTTCTCAACCTGGGGATCGGGACCCCTGGGGTGGTCGCGAGGGGGTGTCAGAGGGGTCCCCGAAGACCATCAGAATATACAATATTTTCTGTTGGTCATGGGGGTTCTGTGTGGGAAGTTTGGCCTAATTCTATCATTGGTGGGGTTCAGAATGCTCTTTGATTGTAGGTGAACTATAAATCCCAGCAACTACAACTCCCAAATGTCAAGGTCTATTTTCCCCAAACTCCACCAGTGTTCACATTTGGGCATACTGAGTATTCGTGCCAAGTTTGGTCCAGATCCATCATTGTTTGAGTCCACAGTGCTCTCTGGATTTAGGTAAACTACAACTACCAAACTCAAGGTCAGTGACCACCAAGCCGTTCTAGCATTTTCTGTTGGTCATGGCATTTCTGTGTGGCCATGTCTGATTCAATTCCATCATTGGTGGAGTTCGAAATGCTCTTTGATTGTAGGTGAACTATAAATCCCAGCAACTACAACTCCCAAATGACAAAATCAATCCTCCACAACCCCACCAGTATTCAAATGTGGGTGTACTCGGTATTTGTGCCAAATTTGGTCCAGTGAATGAAAATCCATCCTGCATATCAGATATTTACATTACAAATTATAACAGTAGCAAAATTACAGTTATGAAGTAGCAACAAAAATAATGTTATGGTTGGGGGTCACCACAATATGAGGACCTGTATTAAGGGGTCGCGACATTAGGTAGGTTGAGAACCACTGACCTAGAATATCAAAGTAGAAAATCCACAATATCTGGTTTGAATTGGGTTATTTAAATTTTATATGTTTACCTTAGTCTTTGGTGTCTTCTACCACCTAACAGAGATTAATCCACTTGAGTCTGCACAACTTATCTTCTTATCATTCATTTAACATATTCTACACAATTTTTCTCATGTCTTCACAGTACCTGTGTGGGCATAGTTTATTGTGGGTCTCTGCAAAATATATTTTGTGGAGGGCCTCCCACACCCCAATTCTGTTTGATTATACATCCATGTTCAATTATAAGCCTTGTCAGTAATGAAAAATTCCAACGTTGCATTCTAAATTAAGTTCAAAGATGTCTCCTTGCTTTGATGTGCATTCATTTTTAAACATCTAGCTGACGTAGTCATTTAGTCTGTTACAAAAGAGCAGCTAATCCCAAAATACTGTCATGTCCTTATGATAAGTGTTGATTAAATTTACATTTTGAAAATGACCTTTTGGCTGTGGCAAGAGTGAATGACAGGGATCACTGCGGAAATCCAGATAAGTGTCATTTTTCATTCTCCATTTTGTTTCTTATTGAAAAGACATTTTCTCTTCATCACAGTACATGACATTTCAGGTCACTTGTAGCATCCAGATGGAATAACCACTGAAGTCCCTATAGACCTGTAAGTCACTATTTGCACTTCCCAGGTATTTCCTTAAGCAAATACCTTCCCATCTCAGGTGACTTCGGGGTGGCACCTTTTTTTTGCTCATCACACGTCTTCTTGCCAATTTAATTCGGGAGTGACGTAGACTGAGTGAGGACAGAAAACATACCAAGATCCCACAGTAGATTACATGCATTTTTGGAGACTGCATCAAAGTAAACCACAGAGATCTGTGTCAAACAGCCTCACTATTGCTGTCTCCCCTGCTCTCTGCTTTGACACTTCCAAACTCTATCAGTATTTTCATTAATAAGCCACAACTCCTCGATCAAAGCTGGTTAGCAAACAAGAAACTTTATAGACAATACTTGATAAAAGAAAACAGTGCATCATGTCTGAAGGACTAAAAAATATATCCAAAAATAACAAGGCACATCAACCATTCACAAGTGAGTTAAAAGCTAAAGGCAGGGAATGCTTCCTACCTAGAAAGAAAACAGAGGGTTCTGCATTTCCCTTCCCCTGCTGCTAATCGGGCTAAATCTGCTGGGTTGGGTGACCACCATCCGCCCTAAGAGTTGGGGAAGTGACAAAAATGAAAAGGAAGGAAATGTCTAGATGGAAAAGAGGTGAAAGGAGAGAGAGAAATGGTGGAGAAAGAAGAATGGGCACAATTAGCTGTTCCAAAAAGCATGGCTTCTAATTGTTTAAGAGGGACCTTGAAAGACAGTTCCCATCTAGGACCAGGTAAAGCTCCATCATGCCTTGGCCCAGTGTACAATTGCTCTGGCCTTTGAAGGAGAGAAGAGCAACCAGCATCTGCCGAACTTAATCCCTTCCCTCATTGCATCCCCCTTTCCTTGTGTATCCTACCTCCCTTAGATTGTTAGCCTAAAGTCCCATCTACACTGCCATAGAAAATCCAGATTATCTGCTTTGAACTGGATTATTTTAGTCTACAGTGCCATAAAATCCAGTTCAAATCAAATAATCTGGATTTTACATGGCTGTGTAGATGGGGCCTGAGGGCCCTTCCACACAGCTATATAAAATCCACATTGAACTAGATTATATGGCAGCGTGGCCTCAGATAATTTGTTCCTCAGTTGAATTTAAATGTAAATTGGAAAGGGTACATTTTTTTAAATGTAACACCAGCCATAAGCATTGGATACCATAGTAAAGGATTAGCGCCCCTGGGGAGTTTGTTTTGCTATCTCTGCCCCTTTTCAGAAGATGTCACCTCACTTTCTGTCCCTTTGACAATTGGATTTTGAATATTTTGGCATGCTGGTGAAAAAAGAATTAATGATAAAGCTTCAGTGGAGACACCTTTTCCCCATATAACTCAGGAGTGAACTTCCCTTCTGAGGGGTAGATTGCTCTCACTTCCTGTTCTTAACTAGGGACCTCATCACACTGGAGCATGGATT